GTAAAAAAAAAAAGGGGGGGGTGCTTATGCTTGTTAATTTTGAATTGTGCTCTTTTTAATAACTAATAAGATCTCAAAAAACTAACTCCTACTGTTTGGAATTTGATACCTACTAGCTTGTTTTGCCATTTATTAAATCGAAAATGTGCAGTTCTCAACCCATTCCTCCAAGTCTCAGTGCTTTGTCATCAATGTGTTTATGTGAGTCTAGTTAGCTACCAAAAAACAGCCAGATTACAAAAGTCTTAAAATGAGCATGTAAAGCCATTCACATTGAGAGAGCCACATTAGACTCAGTGTATTTCGTGGGATTTCCTTTGTGGTCTGGGGGTCTCTTACCATGAAGTCATCGTTGCTTACATGAGTATTAAAAATTTCTAAGCAATTAAATTTTGGGAAGGTAAAAACTCTCACCTCTCACAAATCAATACGGGAAAACAAACATGTCAGCAGAAAAACATGCAAAGAAAATTAATTGACTGGTTACCACAAAAAAATAAATATATAAATTCAATTTTACTAGTGACCAAATACATGCAAACTAATAATGTTGTTGTTGTTAAGTGCCGTCAAGTCAGTTGCGACCCATAGCGACCCTGTATAGGGTTTCAGAGGGTGTAAATCTTTACGGGAGTAGAAAGCCTCATCTTTCTCCCGCGGAGTGGCTGGTAGTTTCGAACTCTGACCTGAAGGTTCGCAGCCCAATTTGTAACCACTACGCTACCAGAGCTCCTAATAATACTAAGATACAATTCTTGCATCAAACCAGCAAAAAATTTTAAGAGCCACCACCACCAACAACAAAAAAAACTGAAATGGCAAGAATATAATATGATAAACACTGCAAGTTCCTGAAAAAAATAAAATTTTAAATACAGTTTGGCATATTCTTACCCTTTCTTTACATATTCTTTACATATTCATACCCTTACTCTTAACAGCAAAAAATATAAACAAACCAAAGGACCAATATTAGGTAAGTTATTTTGCAATTAGCAAAATTATTCAGAATCAATACATTTGTGGGAGAATATTACTATTTCAGTTAAATGTTCAAAATGCAAATGTTAAGAGGGAACAAACAAACAATACACATCATATAACATTTTGTTATGTATAATGGAAGGCAACATATTCAAATGTAAACAAAAGCAGGACTATGGGTGATTTTTATCTTCTAATTCATAATTTTCTATTTTCCAAGATTTCTACAAATGATTTACTTAAAAACAGTAAGCATGACAGTCTCTACCTCAAAAAATGTGTGAAGTAAGATGACAGCTTGTCATGAGGCATTTCAGTGCAAAAATATGAACAGTGAGTAAGTAATGGGTGGGAGATCCTGGCATTAGTGGGGCTGAGCTGGTCTTTTGGACTGACCACTTGGGTTGAGCAGTCAGATGATCCTAGACATTTATTTTCAACAGCCTCCCTAGCATCCTCCAAAACAGGCTGATAAGATTATTTAAAATACAAATCAGCCAAGACAATTGATCTTATCTATCAAGGGGGTATTACTTTTGAAACCTCAGTCTGAGTAGGCCTTAAACTACACAAAAACAGGCTATTACATCTACGACAAGATGAAGCTACCCTGAGGTTAGTCTAGACTAAATATTTATGAAAAGCAACAGTTACTGGGAAAACTTTTCTGCTACCCATGCACACAAGCACACCTAAATTGGTTGAGAGAATTACCTAACTGAATTAAGTCTGAAATCAATTACTCATAGTAACTGAAATAAAAGAGCAGACTTTCCAGATATAATCTGGACCAAAAGTGATTTTACAAAGAAACTGGCCCCCCATGAGAAGTTAAGGCTCTTATCATAAAACTTCAAAGAAACAGCACAAAAAATTACTCTGTAGAGATAAACCATACATTTGATAAAAACCTTGAATGATTAAGATGGTGGTGATTATGTTCTGTGGAATCGGATCTGACTCATATATAAAACCCTCTATAGGGCTTCCGAGCCTGTAAATCTGTACTGGAGCAGAGTCTCCCATGAAGCGGCTGGCAGTTTTAAACTGCATGTTTTGCAGATAGCAACCTGACTTGTACACCACTCTGCTACCAGAGTGACTCTGAATAATCAAAATAACCACCACGTAATATTTTACATGAATATTCATTACAAAAGTCTAGGTTTGCTCATTTCTTAGTCGCCCAAATGAAAAAAACTGACACAATTATATTCATATGATATTGTTAAACATATTCTTAAAATACCAATATATTTTCAAAACTTCAAGCAAAGTGAATAATTAGCGCTGATATTAAACTGCCTAAGAGTAACTGCTACTAAAAAGAAAAACTACTTATCTTCTTAAACATCTGTTGAGCAGATATCAAACTCAATCAAGCATGACCATGCACTCTAAGTCTACATCATTAAGTACCAGCACTCTTTAAAGGAAAATGCACAAGTGCTAAATTATTTTATATAAGAGAACATATAACTTATTTCCTTCAACTTTTAAGTTGCTGCCAAACAAAAACTGATAGATAAATCAAGCATTTTCTGAATTACTAAATGTACATTACTAAATCAAGTTGTACCTTGATGAAAGAGTACAGCAAGAATCTCTGTTTTCACTTTTCCTCTTGGTTTCCATTCTGTGCAAACAGCTGGATTCAAATCTGATATCCAAGAGATTCTCTGGACATCATCAGTTGAAATTCACCTGAATATCCACGTTACTGCACTCTAGTCAGTTCATAATTTATCCTATCTTTACAATTTATACAACTTTTCAACAACTGCCATTACTCTAAGTTTGAGTATGTCTCCCTCCCCAAAGTTATAATGTAACTCAGGAAACTGAAGTATACATAATTTTTAAAATTAAAAATGCACAATATCTCATATTCTTTCCAGAGACAACAATATAGATCATTTGTTTGCATTGACCAAGAATAAAGACCTATCTTGCTCCTGGGTCTATCAGTTAAGAAAGGATGGTTATGAGTTGAAATGAACTTCCTAATATTTAAACTCTAGGTTTTTCCATCTTCACTGTTATGCATACTTCCCAGAAGGGCCATTAATGTGGTCCTTCAGGCTATGGCCTGTCTTATGTGAAGCGCACCGCATGCAACTGTGCAGTGCATAGCCTGGGCAACCATATGCAGTGGTCCTGGCACCTCATCTACCATTTGATTCTCCATAATTACCTTAGGAAATTCTACATATTTTCAAAAGTCTCAAGCTAACTAAATGCTGTGAATAACAAAAATTAAATTACAGATTCAGATCATTTACTTTGACGTTTTGGTTAATAAGCAATTCACAAGTGAAAAGAAACAGACCATTGGTGGCTTACAAGTTTGCAACAATGGTCAAGGTAGTTGGTGAGTAAAGAGGTTAGGAAATTCTGAACAAAGCACACACAGCCTATGTATGCTTAACAAGGAGGGCACTTGGGGAGTCACTAGTCATTCTACCACTACAGAGGGGTTCTCTCTTCAAAGAAGATTTGCACACCCACGTTGTCCTCCCTTTCCTTAAAAAGGAAACATCTTGGGATGGTTATACAAACATCTGCTTAGTAAGGGAAATAAGCACCATATCAGGGATCCATTCACTGTCTAAATTAAAAGATTAGTAGAACAGAACAGAACATTTTTTGAACAGCAATTTTATAGTTGCTAATAGGGTTTTCTTTAAAAGCAAAATTATTGAATGTAAAACTGAAATCAACCTAGAACCTGCCTTAAGTCTCCTTCTCTCATGAATTCAGCTGATGAAGTCATTTAAACCCCCATCCTAGTAATTTTAATACAAGGAGATATTTAAGGTGTGCTGCCAAAGGAATTCAACAGATATTAAGCAGTAAAAAGCCTTTCGAAAGAGTGTTAAGAACTCCTATTGATATACTATAGGAACTAGACTTTTATTATTTCAAGCTGAACACCTTTAAAGTGCTTAACAATCATTCTGATTACTGCGTTTATGTAAGTTTTGGCTGCAGCTTTAATTAATTTTACTTGAAATAATCTTTGTATATCAGCAATATGCTGTCTTCACATGTAGAAACAGAAACCTTTCAGAAAACTAGGAAGAAAAAAAGTCACCCATCAAACTTTGAAACACCAAAACATCCCCCCTCCTTAAATCAAATAAGAAACAATTCTGACAAGATGATCTGTTAAATGCCACACCATTTACAGACATTATCAATCATATTAAGAATCTCTTCAATTATGAGACTTTACCACTTAAGAACCATTCTTCTACAATGAAATCTTACAACTGCCTTTGCAGTACATAGTACCAGACCTGATAAAAGGTGGAAGCAGATACTTCAAACATTTCATAAACTACAGACCTTTATACCAAAAAGAGCTGAAACCAGCAGGTTTCTAACAAATGTTGTATAACTGAATTAAGGGTGGATTAAAGGTGGAATTTTTCCCCAAAAAAATCATATTACTTTCAATGTTAAGTGACAACTTAGCATAGAAAATTGTTCAACAAGGATAGCTAGCTTATCATGCATTGAATCAGAAAAAATAAAACACAAACTATTACTGTGGAAGGAACAGAGTTATTAGAAAACTTTAAGGAAAGGTAGAATATGTTATTTCAGACACCATAAGCTCAACTGCAGTGGCTATTTAATGAAGCAAGGTGTCTATTCCTGAGGAGAACATACTTAGTGACAATGCTGAACCGGGAGTTTTGAATCTAAGCAGTACAAAAAAGGCAATGATGGGAGTCCAGGTCATGTGTGACAGAGAACAAGCTGTGAGAAATTTCATTACTTAAAAATAATCTTGTCCCTATCGTTAACCATTTAAATACTTTTTTGCTGATGTGCTAATATTAGCACTGGCAGCCTCAGAACAAGGTTTTAAAATGGCCATGTCCTGTTAATAGACTGCAGTCTTCAAATTTACAGAGCTGCAGGTCTCCTGGATTCTCTCATCTAAGTGAGCCTGACAGCTGAGAAATGCCATCAGGTGTTTTACCGTCAGTTTAAAAAACACCCTCTACCTGGTATCTCTGCAGTGATTGTCTTGCTGCTCCCTGAAACCTCTTCATCGTCATCTGACGAGCTCGTGCTTGAGTCACAAGTCAGGTCACTGTCACTGGTACTACTGTCCTGAAGCAAGTTGTATTTCTTCCGAGCAGCAGCCTCTCGTTTCTGCCTCAGTAGCCTGATTCTTTCCTTGTGCTTTTGGCTCCGGTGACCTTTAACCTTGGCAACTCGGCCATTCTGCTTATCACTGGATTGCCGGTTTTTCTTGGCAGCCATAGTGGATGTTTCACTTTCTGATCGGGACCGTCTAGACTTGCGCCCAACACTGGCACCAGACACTCCAGAAGGGTCTCCTTCTACTGTTGTTTCTACCTGGGAGGGTTCATTCTCTTCTGCAGAAGACAATGTATCTGAGTCAGCCAGGTGTCCACTAGAAGAAGGCGAAAGCATGCAGTGGTTAGAGGAGTCACTCTCATAAACTTGGCCAGTTGTCGGTTTGTCACTCTCTGTGGATGCTAACTGAGACTCAGAAGAGTCCCTTCTCAGTTCCATCAACAAACAAGGCATTGAAGAAAGAACTGTAGAATCTGCAACACCATCTTTCTGAACTTGAGGTTCTAGTTCTACAGATCCATCTTCGTCCTTGGCTGTCTCTTGTTCAGATGTTTTTGGTGGAACTTCAGACTCAATGAGTTCTTCGACTTTTCCCACTGCCTCCTCCATCTTCATTTCAGAATTGAGTTAAATCATGGAGCAGAGTCTAGGAAACTATATCAAAGATGCAACAGGAAAGCCACCTGTACAAAAACAAACAAAATCAATAAACAGAAATGGCAGGTTATTTATCAACACAACATACTTATCTTCTTCAGCAAGTTGCAGCAAAAGTTACCATTATACAAGCCTTTAAAATATGAGGGGGCTTCAAAAAGTTCATAGAAAAAGTCCATTACCTTTAAATTCCACTTTTCCATGAACTTTCTGAAGGCCCCTCATATTGTATCTGTTATTTGATTAACAGTCAAATTCAGAAAATTTAATAGACTAACTCAAAATACTAGCTACTAAAAATGATACTAATATGAATCCAGTATTAAAGTTTCCAGATAGCACAAACCATTTATATCCAACCAGTAACCTAAAAACTGGCAACTTAAACCCACCCAGGGTACCAGTGTAGAAAAGGGCTAGCCATCTGCTTCTATAAACAGTCCTACCAAGAACCCTAACGATTAGTTCTACTCGGTACACACAGGGTCGTCATGAGATGGAACGGACTCGACAGCAACTAACAATAACAACCAAACCTGGAAGGTCAGGCGAACAACCACATAGGATTTACAACCTTCAAAACACTGACATAATATAATGTTTTGACTTTTAATATAAATAAAAAGAATATTTGCAAAATAAAACTAGCCAAGAAAACAATGTTAACTAGAATGATTTTTTTACACTGCAATCTTCTAAAAAAAGGTGGCAAGGGGGGAGTTGTTACAATGGAATTACATCAAATACACTCTTATAATAAAAACAGCTTCAACTACATGCATGTAGCAAATGAGCAAGCAAGCAAAATTATTACAAGTACTTCCCTACTTGGAGTTCTGGTGTGGCACTATAGGATAAGCACTGGACTGCAAGGTAAGTTTGAACTGCAAGGCTGGCAGTTCAGTCACCAGCCATTCCTTGGAAACCCTACACAGGGTTCACTATGAGTTAGAATTGACTCAATGGCCCTTAACAACAACACTTCCCTAATTACAATGTATCCAAGTTTCAAAGAACTATACAACCCACATTTAATCATTTTTGTTTTCTTACATCTTATGTTAGTAATATAAGGAGCTCTGGTAGCGTACTGGTTACGAATCGGGCTGTGAACCTTAAGGTCAGCGGTTCGAAACTGCCAGCTGTTCCTCAGGAGAAAGATGAGGCTTTCTGCTCCTGTAAAGATTTACAGCCTCGGAAACCCTGTACAGGGTCGCTATGAGTCAGAACCGACTCCACGGCACATAACAACAGCAACATGTTAGTAATAGGTACTACATACAATGTTAAAACACATCTGTATGTCTACATGCCATGTTTTCAACCCCAAAGACAAATATAGATTGGATTTATAAAGATATTGATAATAAAAAGCAATAATGAAAACTGAAAGAAAAAAAAAAAAAGATATCTGAATTACATTAAAACTATTCCTCAGAACAGAAGCCCTTTTCAGCTGAACATGATTTGTATATGCATTCAACCCTATCAGCTATCCCTCTCAATAGGCATTTCTCTAGAAAGGCAATGAGACGGGAGGCCTGAATCTGATGTTCTCTATCCTTAATTCCATACTTCTCTCTCATCATGGTTAATGTTAAGTGGAGAATTCAAATATGTTTTGTTTCATACACAATAGTTACTAAATGGATTCCTGGTATGATGTTGTACGATAAGCACTTGACTGCTAACCACAAGGTCGATGGTTCACTCTACCAACTACTCCTCAGAAACCCCATCCGGGTCATTATGAGTTGTAACTGACTCAATAGCACTCAACAACAAGTCACTAAACACAACTACTTTGTAAATCCAAAACATATACTCTATAAATGACTTTAAGGATCCAAGAGAAAACTCCCTGCATACATTTTCCACCTTATATGCTAACTTTAGAGCCTAACTATCTACCCTTTCATCACCCTGCAACTCCACTTTATCAAAGAGGAACAGGACATAATCTTTAATTATGAGAGCTGTGACCTATTTAGTGCAAGATTCCCTGACTGGTGGATTTTGAAAGATACTGCTAAAAAATGTACAAGGCAAATAAAAGACATCACCCCAACACATGTTACAGAAGGCAATTATCAAGATTCCCCAAAGGTCACAGACAGACACAAACATTAAACTCGATGACATACTATGTCAAGGGCAGTAAGAGACCCATATCACTTAATTCCATCATGTTACTGCAATACAATAGTTCCACTTACAGTAAACAACAACTACAAGATTTATGAAAATACTTTTAATTGCTCTAAAATGCCAGACCTACTTTTTAATTGTTATAAAAAACATACATATTCTATATACATGAATATGTTTTTCATGGCCCTGTTGTCAGCTGCTAATAAAATAGGCATTCTAATAAAGTTTCCTTATAACACTCACAAAAAGCTGAAACATCAATGGTCAGTGGAAATATTTATTAAATATATAGTCTACTTTATTAGCACATTTGCAACATTACTAATTTTTAGTTAAATGAAAACATACATGAGTTGCACTTTGGGTTAATGCACTGGACTACAAAGTCGGTTTGAACTACAAGGTTGGTGGTTCAAGCTCACCAGCCACTCCTCAGAGACGCTACACAGCACTTAACAACAGCAACAATTCTAACGCCTTTCCCAAAGAATGCAACACCTTTAAACGCCAACAGAGGGAGTAAGAGTTAAACCAAGACACTGCCAGTCATAAATGAAGTCCACTGGCAGTCTGAACAGAAATAGAATATTCACATTTGAGCAGTGATATAAAACACTCCTGGAGTCCTGGTGTGGTGCTGCAGGATAAGCAACAGACTTCCTAACCCTAAGGCTGGTTGTTTAAACCCACCACCAGTCAATCCTCAGAAAACATACTTAGGTATTCTTAACAATATAAAACAATCCCAGGTATGAAGACTAAATTCAGGATTTGCTAAATAAGTAAAATGAGTTGATCTTTTTGTAGGAAATCAAGTTATATATTCTGGAGTAAAGACTGTTCTGAAAGTTGAAATATCTGAGAAATATACTGAGGAAATCAATATTAATCCCACAGCAAAGGCATTGAGATGTCTCATTAAATTTCAAAAGCAAAAGAAACTGAAAAGTAAATTTGTTAAAATTACTATAGAAATCTGGTTTCTTCAAGAAATAACTTGTGTGTGCAGCACAAACAAATCTAGATAACATGAAAATACCAATGCCTTTTAATATGACACATTACACACTCATCTTTTACTTCAAGTTCCTCAAATTTGTGTTGAAACTTAAAATTATTTAGGCTACCTCAATGGTGGTGGTGGTGGTTATGTGCATGGAGTTGGCTCTGATTTATAGTGACCCTGCATAGGGTTTCCGAGGCTATAAATCTTTACAGGAGCAGGAAAAGCCTCATCGTTCTCCCACAGAACTGGTAGTTTCAAACTGCTGACCCTGAGTGTTAATAGCCCAACCCATAACCACTAAGTTACCAGAGCTCCTTCAGCTACCTAAATAAACAACCAAAATTTCAGTCAAAAACAATTAAATATGCCTAAATCAATCACAATAGATGGCATAATAGTTAGTTCATCATGGTGTATATGTCATAGAATGGAAAACTGTGTGCCCAAAATGAATGAGAAAGTTCTGAATATACTGATGTGTAGCAGTTTTCAAAGTTAAGTACTGTGGAGTCTGGTACTGACTCAGCAACCTTGTACAAGGCTTCTGAGATTGTAAATCTTTTTTCTTTTAAACTTTCTATCATGAATTCAGTGAAGAGGCTGTAAATCTTTTGCAGGTGCAGAAAGCCTCGTCTTTCTCCCTTGGAGCAGCTGGTGGGCTCAAACTACTGACTTTGCGGTTCACAGTCCAGTGTTTAATCCTCCAAAGCCACTGCACTCCCACTATTTTTAATACATACTACCAAGTGACCAACAAAGAAGGTACATTATAAATGCTAGGTTGTGTATGATTTTTCAACAGTAAAACCAAAAAAAAATGCTGATGCTAATTAGACATAATCCATCACCTCATGGTGATTAGTTCTCTTGGTTTGGAAACTTAAGGGCTGTGGTATAATGGGGCAGGGGCAATCTAGTCAATTGGCAGAGTTCTTAGATTTACATTTTCACTCCCAGTATGAGAAGCAATGTCTGAGGTCCTAAAAGCTTAAAGGGGCTACCACTGGTGTCCTGGTGTGGCACTGGAGGATACATACTGGACTGTAAGGTCAGTCTGAACTGAAAGTCTGGTGATTAAAACTCACCAGTCACTCCTTGGAAACCCGGTATAGGGTTGAGGGTCGCTAAGGGTTGGAACTGGCTTGATAGCACTTAACAAGATATAACTACTGATCTTTATTCATCTAGAACAAAAGTTGCTGTTGTTGTTAAGTGCCATCGGGTCAGTTCTAACCGATAGCAACCTTGCAAATTATAGAGGGGCTAGACTACAGGACTAACTATCTCCTCCACCTGGAGACCAGAAGAACTAGACAGTGGCCATCAGCTACTACTGAACATTCTGATCAGGAACACAAGAGATGAATTCTGATTTTAAAAAGGGGGAGACAAATGCAGAAGAGAATTTCAAATTCTTAAGGAATCCAGACTTACTGCACCTGAGGCTAGAAGAGTCCTAAGACTATGGATGGCCCTGAATTGCTTTTCCAAACTTTGAATCGAAACTGTCTTCTGAATTCACTTTTAAACTGAATAAATGTAGCCCCTCTTCCCCAAAGAAATATGTACAGATATATACAACCAAAGGGTTAACAGTAATTTTAAAGCATAGATGAGAAGGTTGGGGGCAGGAAGATGAAATAAATGAAAGTGAAACAACTAGAAGAGAAATGAAAACGTGACACAATGTGAAGAATGTAACCAATGTCATTGTCTTGAAACTGCAGAACGGGAGCAGGTTTTGCTGTGTATATTTTCACCAAAAATAAACTATAAAAAACAAAATTATTTTGCAAACAGCACATTATACAAGCAAATAAAAGACAAAATTATATGTATGGATGAGTGTGTGTCCACAAATGCACAGAC